CTGAGTTGGCCACGCCCAGCAGGAACTCATTAGCATAATAGGCCACACCCAACAGCAGAAACTCATTAGGATTGGCTACATTAGGGGTGTGTGGCCTAACATGCAAAGAAGTTCCTGCTACAAAAAAAGCCCAGGGTTTTGACAACAAACAAGGTAAACAGAATAAGAAGCAAAAGGTGGGTGTGGCTGGATGACCACACTTCTGGTAACATGGGGGTACGGCCTAATATGCTATTGAGCTGTGCTGTCAGGGGTGTGATCTAATATGCTAATGAGTTTCTGCTGTTGGGTGTGGCCTATTATGCTAATGAGTTCCTGCTGGACTTTTTTTTACAAAAGAAGCCTTGCCCTTTGGAACTCCTTCCTGGAACGCACCCATGATCAATGCTCACTCTAAGCTGTGGAGTCTTGTGAGCAAAAATTCTACTGTGTGAGTTACTGGCGTTAAAGTTCTGAGTGAGCGTTTTGCTGCTGCATAAATTAGTTTGCTCTGGAGCCATCCTTCCTGAGCGAAGACAAAAATGTGTGAGCCGGAGGCTAAAAAACTGTGAGCTAGCTCACACTAACTCAGCTTTAGAGGGAACACTGCCCATGATGCCACCTCTCTGTCTTCCATCAAACCCACTTTTAAGTTCTAGACAAAGTGAAGGAGCATCCATTATTCAACAGCAGTCTGTATACAGAAAGTCCCAGGTTCAGTCCCTGAGATCTCCAGTTCAAAAAACAAATGTCTCCGTCGCTGGGAACAGCAATGGAGAACTACAGAGTAGGCTTGCCAAACTTGAGGTGAGGACTGGAGATCTCCCGGAATTAAGTTGGTTTTTAGTCTACATATTTATTACTTATTCATTTGAGTCATTTTCCCCCACTTCTCCTGGATAAAATAGCTGCTTTGGAAGGTGGCACGATCATATACCTTATCAGCAAGGCTTTTTTTTCTAGGGGAATGTGCCGGAATGGGGTTCCGGAACCTCTTTGACAAAATTCTTTTAAAAATGTTTAAAAGTTCATGAGTTTTCAGTATACTGACTGAAAACTTCATTTCCCTCTTGAGAGTTCCAGCACCTCTTTTTCAACAACAACAACAACAAAAAGCCCTGCTTGCCAAGGTCTTTCCCTTCCCTAAACCCCACCCTCCCAGGCTCTATCCTGAAATCTCCAGGTATTTCTGAACCCAGAGTTCTGAGCAGGGGTCATTTCCTGCGGGAGCGCACAGGAGCAGAGCTCTGGCAGTAAGGAGCCCAGGGGGCGGGCACATGCAACAAGCCCCGCCCCCTGCTCCCAGCAGCCCTCAGTCAGGCCACGAGGAGCAAGAAGTAGCCAGTTAAATTGCAGAGCCCCTCCCCCCGGCCCGCCTTCAGGTACAAGCTTTCCCTCATTCTGCGAGGACAGAGCTGCACAGTCCCCCCCCCCAATAGCTAGCAATCCAAAACAGTCCAGTGGAGCCTGAGCAGTGGGTGTTGCCTTCTGACACACTTCCGGTGATGTCAGGGGGTGTGGCATATGCAAATAAGTTATGC